CCCCCCCCCCCCCCCGTATCACTGCATTTCATGAACCTGGATCTGTCCTTGAAATCAGAAACTGGGCTGGCTGTATATAATGCCAGCTCAGGGAAAGGGAGCGAGTACATCACGAGAGAGCAGATGTTGGCGAGCCCGGGCGAGCCTCATGCCTCTTCTCTCCGGCAGACCAAACCAATGAAGGGGCACTGGCAGATGAGTCGTCGTTGCCATGCATTGGTTGAGCCACCAACGCACTGACAACCAAGGTTTTATGAGATTTGGTCTGAGCCTCCCCTTCCAAGTACATCGTGCATCATTGACAGGCTAGCCTGTCTTGGATTCAGCCGTTCAGGCATGCAGGCGTCTATGGGATGTGGCCGTCAGCCACTAATAAGTGGCTTTCATGGGCTTATTTGCAAATGAAGCTGTAGCCATGACTTTTAAACACAGCTCTCTTTCCAAGTTAATAAAAAGACAAGGTCACTCATCACAACAGGTGCAAGAATCATGATCTTGGGCAGGAGTTTGCGCACAGTGATGGTTATGAACTCACTCTGAGGTAGGGAACGATGCAAGAGTGAGGTGTAACTACTGCAAACCGGTTTAATGAACGTCTCAGACTTTACACAGAATGCATGAACATATTCACAGAGTTCAAGTCACACAAGGCCGCCCTTTTGAGACAATCGGTCCGGGGTGGGGCTGAGAGTTGTCCTGCCGTTTGATGGCAAGACCATACAATTATGAACTCGTGGAGGAGCTCAGCAGTTGCCCCGTGAGCGACATACCTCTCCTGTGAGTCCGTGCCATTCTGCAAACGAGCGAACTTCACATTACGAGTCCACTCATGTCTGCACAGCCTCGCCAACTCTCGAGCGAGACATTTCCCAATGGTGTTACTGTAAGCTACCATGGTGCCAACTCCCAAATCTCACGGAAATGTACTTGTTTTCACTTCTTTCAAGTAATAAAACTCCTGTTAGCTATCTCACCTTGATAAAAAAAACAGTCGTAAATTCACTGCTTGTACGTACAATGTACATGTACATGTAGATGTTTTGATATGCACATGTATGTGGATGAATGGGGTTTGAAGGGTATACATTAGCCTTGCTTTATGAAATTATGTGTTTGATTTATTGAGGTGAATTTATGACATGCATATGTAATTTCTGTTAATATTCTCCTGGTGACATTCCATTATTTTCACATTACAGACAGCATACAATTCACGAAGCCCATGAAACCTGGTGAATAATGTCTGGTCGGAATCACGTTTAAACAGCAAAGAAGGGCTTTATGTTTGATTGAAGCGCAGCTGCCATATGTTTGTGACTTTGCTAACACCCGCGATGGATGATAGACATGACCGGGCTCCGTGCACAGCTGTGCCTTCCGGTGTGATGATATAACTGTCAAGTGAGGGCGCTCCATTTGCCGTTCCATAGCCCTGCTGAGTGGGTTTCTCCCACGGAGCGAGCACACACTGCACAGGGGGGGGCATGCATGGTCAACTGGCTGGCACTTGCTGCCACAGGATCGAAGACTGGAGTTCAACAAACCGCAGCCTCATTTTTTGACTGTGACATTCAGTTGTCAATTTAACCCTCCTTTAGTTTTACAGCACAAACATGCACAAGTGCCCAAGGTCACTCTCTTGCACGTTGGTGCAGTGCCCAACACGACACGGCTGGGCTTCTTTGAGGTGTTTACCAAGTGACCCAAAGAGTGACTTCAGCATAGGAGGGTTAAGCTTCAAGATTTTCACACTTACGAGCAGACTCCGGTGCAATGCAACAGGCCCTCTTTATTTTTAATCTGCGGTGGGTTTGTTGAACTCCAGCGAGCCTGGCTTTCATTTGCAAGCTATAGAGAGCCCTCTGTAGTTCTGCAACATAGCAGACAGAAATGCACAACAGGCGATGTGCCGCAGGCACCAGACAGAGAGATGAAGGGGTATTTTTCAAATCTTGGCTCGGTGAAAATGAAGTTTTTTATTTTCATTTGTACAGCACATCCAAATGCGAAATATATTCTACAGTTTAGAGTATTTCCATTTGATTCCGAAACTAAACGTCTGAAACTGTGGACACAGAAATGAAGCTACAGGCCAAGCCAAGATTTGCAGGGTAAATAAAGACAAAAGTCACAAGCTCTAAAGGGTTAGATACAACCTCACACACGTCTGAAAAGCTCTGAGAAGTTAGAACAGATGGCTGCTATGGAAAGGTGTTAGGACAAAGGCAGTGAATCCCCAAATGGTAAAACGGACCAAACTTGCTTTTACTGCGGGAGGCAAATTTTGGCTTCCGAAGCGACAGGAGAATATGCTGCAGTTTAAAAAAAAAAAACAAAGAGACAAGCACAGATGTGATGTTGCTTTAGTCATCCAAACTTCCGAGGCCAGCTGCAAAGTGAAGAATAACCACAGGTCAAATCTGGAGGGCGAGTGAGTACGTAGCTTTACGTAAAATTTCACTGACGCTTTCAGAACTGCTGAGAGAACCCTTTTAATGAAGCAAGCTCTGCTGTAATGATAACTAATTTGTTTGTGACAGATTTCCGATTTAACATGTGCAAAAAAAGTCCCAGTTACGGCTACGCTTCCATAACTGGGCAACTATGGTAGTAATCACATTCTGAGATTATTTCATGTGATACGCTGCCAGGAGGGGGGAAAAATGGGTTCAAAATGGCCCAGCAAGAGAAAGGCACAGACAGTAACACCAAATATGACATCGAAAGTTTCCACAGCAGCGTGCCTGAAAGAGAGGCAATGCGACACAAGTAATATATTAAGCTGGATTCGCACTTCGCATCAACGTTAATAAATGGAAAGCAAATTCTCGAAAGTGACCATGAATGTTAAAAAAGACATACAATAAATGGCACCATGGCATCGGCTTTAGCGTAAAGTCACTTCCTGTCGGAGTGAGCCCAACACTAATAAACAGTGCTTGTTACAACACTGTTGCTATCTGGTATCAAACTAAACCACGATTGACATTGAAACAAAGAAATCAATCCTAGTTTTAAATATTACCTCAGTGTAGCGTCAATTTCAAATTGCAATTCTGACAATTCAGGGTTTTTTTCTGCATTTTTTTTTTTCTGCAAGCAAACAAACACAAGTGAAACAAGGCACCGATTTGCTAAAAATTTCCAACCAATACATTCGGTTGGAAATGAACTCACTTGAAATTAAAACTGCAAAACACAAATGTGTGGAAATTTATTGGAAACTGAAAAAAAAAAATCAGCAATGAATGCTGATGTCATGGGTGGGTATTAATGCAGCGCATAGCCAGTCATGGATTTCATTTTTAAGCTTCATGGACAATGCAAGCATCATATGAGGTCAGCTGGGCACCATAGGTGTTGCAGCACTGGCCCGAAGTGCGTCCTTTGCTCGGGGCATGTATGAAGCCTTCCATTTGTCAACTTGAATGCAAACCGATCTTGCCTCGGAATACATACAGATCTCTCTATTTTTTTGTCTATGTTACCAAACAAAATGTGGAGGAACCGTAAGTCAGAGGAAAAGTAAGAAAGAGAAACGTAAAAGATAAAACCTATTCACAGTGGAGAGACTTACTTTCATTGTCACGCCTGGTCAACTTCTTGATGCGACCGCAAACACTTCCGCAGCAGTTACACGGGAAGCCGGTGTAGGTCGGAGAGAACGGAATGTAGCGGAAGAAAGAAAAGCGTCTGATCCAGTTCATCCCGACAGGGAACTCGTAGGAGCGCAGTAACTCGCGAGACAGGGCCGAGTCCTGGCTGCCGGCCGAGTACTTGCTGCGCCACTGGGCGATGCCGCGGTCCTCATCGGAACCTGTGAAAGAGTTGCCAACAAAATTCCACTGAAACGTGCCACACGGGAAAACCAGGGCCATCTCAGTGGAACATTAAATGAATATACCGACGCCAGGAAAAGCTTTCACTTATGTGTCATAATAAACTTCAATTTCTGGTGTAACTCTGCCAAAGACGGCTGCCCATTTAGAACAATTAAACCATCACAGCAAAAGATCGAATCTACATGTACACATCAGTAATCCCTGAAACTCTTTGTAACTAGCTACGAACGGATGTCTGGTTTTGGCAGAAAACGTCGCCATTTTCCATCAAAGGATTTCTTTAAGTAACAGACAAGTCTGCACCCACGACCGAAGGTACAATGCACTAGACTGGTGATTTTAGAATGCAATCGGGCAATGAACACTGCGAGACATAATCAAAGGCCAGTTTCGTTTTCTTGAATGGAGGGGCCAGCCAAGTGCAAAGATGGAGGCCGAACAATGCTTACCTGGTAAGGTGTTATCGAAAAAGAATCCAATCACTCCGCCCACAAACATGTTGGTCTCAAGAAGCACGACGATTATCTGGTCTATCTCCTCGTTGCCTGCCAAAAATTTTACACCGGAAAGTAATCAATTTGGCAATCTGGATTAAAAAAAAAATGGGTTGGGGGGTGGCCCTTTCCTAAGGGAGGGATGGGGTGTGGAATTGAATGCCACTGAGGTCAGATAATTTGTGAATGCAAATCGCAGCTTTAAGGCACTCACGCACATTCAAACACCTTGCATGACTTTGCCGTCTTGTGACGAGCAACTGTACACTCGTGCTCACGGTGAACATTAGCGAGCCTTGCAGGCTATCCTACTGAATACATTGCATTCTGATGTTGTACACAGGATCCGGCCGTTACCTAGCATCCAGTGAAAGTTGAGAGCAGTTCCTCAAAACATTTCAGTACTTCACAGAAGAAAGGCCTTG